TGGTTTCTTGAATACCGTGGTGATGGCAGTGCGGACTCTGCCAGGTACAGGAAGAGTTCTTCTCCAGGTATTGGGGTGACAAGTAGTGGTGGAGAAGACATGTATTCTTTCAAGTTTTTCAGAGCGCGGTCGCATTCTTCGTCCCACTCAAACTTGGCTTTTAATGCTTGAAAAAATAGTCGTAGTCTGTCTGACGACCGGCTAATGAATCGGTTGAGTGCAGCTGCCATGTCGGTGAGATGCTGTATTTCTTTTACTGAGTTAGGCCTCTCCAGATCCTGAATAGCTTTGATCTAGGAGGGGTCTGCCTCTATACCCCGGTTGGTTACTAGGAAGCTCAGGAATTTGCCAGATCCTACACCGAACGCGCACTGAGATGCATTAAGGCGCAACTTGTGCCTTTTCAGAATCTGGAACATCTCACCTTGGTCCTTTAGATGGTCGTTCTGATCCTTGCTCTTGACCACCATGTCGTCGATATAAGCCTCCATTGTTCTGCCTAACAACGGCTCAAACATCTTAGTGACTATTATTCGAAATGTTGCCCCTGCGTTCTTTAGGCCAAAGGGCACGACCTTATAGCAATACAGTCCTTTTCGAGTTGTAAAGGACGTGACCTCCTGGTCTGGTTCGTACATGGCGATCTGATGGTAGCCTTTGTACGCATCAAGAAAGCTAAGTCGGTTGTGCCCCGCCGTTAGGTCTACTAGTTAATATATCCGCGGTAGGGGGAAGCTGTCCTTTGGGCATGCTTTGTTGACTGTCTTATAGTCGACACAGACACGCCATTTGCCATTCTTCTTTGGCACCACGACTGTGTTGGAAATCTATCTGGGGTAGTGCACCTCTCTGATAGCTCCTGCCTCTAGCAGATTTCCCACTTCTTCTACCACTATCTCGCCGTGGTGGAGTGCCGATCTACGAGTGCGCTGAATGATTGGTCTGGCGGATGGGTGGACATTGAGTTGGTGACAGATGAAGTTTGGATTAATGCCTGGCATGTCGTAGGGCGTCCAGGCGAACACTTCAATGTTAGAGGTCAAGAATTCCATGACCTCTAATCTCTCAGTGCCGGACAACGACGAACCGAGCAAAAAGAACTTATCCGGGTTCTTTTCATCTATTCTTACCTCTACCACGTCTTCCACTGCTTTTTGATCAGTTGCTTTGCCGACATCTACGAACAGTTCATTACTTTCAGATTCTTCCACCGAATGAACATATCCCTTGGCAGCGCGGCTACCATTAACTGTGACAAAGCATTGCTTGGACATAATTTGGTCTCCAAAGACCTCTTCAACTACCCTGACTTCGTTGGGGAATCGCATTACTTGATGGTAGGATGAAGCTACCGTTCGCATGGCATGTAGCCACGTTCTTCCCAAGATTATGTTGTAAGTGGAAGGGACTTTCAATGCCCAAAATTCCACTTGTTTTGTCACGTTTCCTGCCCTGACTGGAAGGATAATCTTGCCAACTGGCCACTCTGGCATTGAGTTGAATTCGATCAGGAGGGATACAGCTGGTGCCAAGTCTTTGTCCTCCAATTTCAGTTGTTTGAAGGTGTCGTAGTACATTATCTCACACGAGCTACCTTGGTCTATCAAAATCCGCTTGATGTCGTAATCTTTGACGCGGAGTGTGACGACCTGCGCATCGTTGTGAGGGCAGTATATCCTCGCCAAGTCTCTGTCTGAAAAAGAGATGACATTGCTAGCCTCCGTTCTTCCTTTCTTGATTGTGGGTTGTGCACTTAGAACCTCCTTTAAATGCTCAGCCTTTTTGATCATGCCCCTGAGCTCACATACGCGCACAG